ATTAAAAATTGTACGATCAACAAAAAATAAAATTGTTAAATAAAAAACAAGATTTTTATAAATTTTAAGCGTTTTTGACAAAATTCGTGATTTAATTTGCAATAATTTCTTATTAATAAAATTTTAACTGTATTTATACTAAGGAGCAAAAATAAAATTCTAGCTTTAATTTAAATATAAGTAAAAAGAATATCTACAAAGGTTCCAAAGTAAAAATATTCTAACCAAAAGTACACAAATTAAAAATATTAATAATTTTATATAAAAAATAAATTACTTGCTTTTTATATTAAATGACAAGATTTATTAAAAAATAATTATACCTTAAGTACTTTTTAAACGTGATAATCTTTATTTCTTAGAGTTTTACAAAAGACTATTATTTTAAGATTTAAAGTACTATTGTTGTTGTTAACTTTATATCCTTTATTGTTATTTTGATTTGTAAGTATTTTATATAAAATAGTAAAATTTTAAATTTAATCTAACAACATTAACTGTTAAAAAAAATATACTGCCGAAAATATATTTGTGGCCAAATAAAACTTAACTTAATTTTTAATAAATTTTCCTTTATTATGTTAGCTATTTTTATTCATCCCAATATATTCTCTACCTTCTTCATAAATTTTATTTAAACATTTTTTAAAGAAACTAAATTATTTTTCTTTATAATAAATCCTAAAAGTGGTATGCAGAATAACACAATATCATAGATCAAAAATTTAAAGATAATTATCGTGAAATCTGAGATGTTACTGTTCTCTTTATATTTCATTATTAAATGACCCTTTACTTGGATACGCCTAGCAATAGTCAGATACCGAATAACTTTTTATGTGAATTATATTATAATGTGCAGTGCGTAGTAAATTGATATTGAATAAAAAGATTAGAATAATGAATAAGATTACGGGGTAGATTTAATCTATAAGTGTATATATCACACCGAAAAATTTTCTTATCTACTTAATCAAAAAAAAATATAAAATTATTGCATTTTATTTGAAAGTCCCTGTGTTATTACGGCCACTAAAGGAGCTTAATTTAATTGATTTATTAGAAATTAATTGTTCTTTTTTGTAAGTTTGATGGATAAAAATAAAATAAATTAATTATAGCAAAATAAATGTCATGTGAAGAATAAAATTACAGTCCTTTTTTATGTTTTAAAAACATATTTGGCGCTTAGAATTTATTAATTGTGGTAAACTACATGACTTAATTTGAACAGTCAAAACTTTGAATCACAAAACCTTGACATTAATTAAAACTCTATTATTTAAATCATCCTCACATTAAGAGCATGATAAAGTTGATGCAAACAATACAGTCTCACGAGACTAAAAAAACTTTTAAAAATCAATTCTTTCATTGAACAGTTTCTTTAGTAATATACGTTATTAAACGTTTCAGTTAGCATTCTAATTATTCTAGTGATCTTAACTTTTTTATACGTACACGAATATCATTGTTAATAAACCGAAATATTCTATATATGACACCGCCATCGGAAATATGGTTTGTAACTGTTTATTGACAGATCATTTGAGAAAACTATGAAAGAAATTCTAAATCAATAAATATGGCTAACAAACGTAGTTCTTCTCGTATCACCGAATTACTATACAGTCCTGGACAGACTTTTGGTAACACATAAATTTTACATATTAAACATAATAAAAGTATTTGTTATCGTCGGCAATTAAATAATCGGTATTGAGACTGAAACTACAGCCTCAAACCTAAGAAGATTAGTAAGACGTTTTGTATCAAATCAAAAAGTAATTAAGAAATAAGAATATCAAAAGGATGCCAAAAAAAATTGTTTTTAATAAAAGACAGTATTCCTCTGTAGATTACTCTGCTAAGGGTAACAACTAGTACTACTTCTGCTACAAATACTTCTTATATCGTTAAAAATAAATCAAAATTAATAAAGAAGATTTTACGAACATTATTGAAACGCTCCCTTGTGCTTATGGGTTGCGTAATAAATAAACTATATTATAAATATTTTCTTAATTTTTTTATGTAAAAGGCGATTGTCCAAAAACGTGGGGCTATTTTAAAATATAAGTAAATACTTAAATTGGCCAATCATATTCTTTCTGAATATCCTTAGCATCTAGCCTTCCAACAAATATAGTGATCAATTTGGTTATAAATTAACTTTTAATTAATTAATGCTTTACGTTTGCAAACTTAATTAAAGAAATTTTGTTAAAATGAAAATACAAAATCGTATTTAAAAATAAAAATTTAATAACATTTTCTCGCATTTTTTTAAGCTAAATCTCCATCATTTTCTTCATCGGAATTTTCGCCTGCTCGCTTACGATGGCGATCATGCTGCACTTTATTACATTCTAATAATTTTTTAATTAAAATCTCTTTATAAGATTTGTTAAAAGAGCCATTGCTATAAGTAAATTCATCATAATTCTGTATAGGAACTGATTTTTTTGTACAAACCTTCGAAGATGATAATGTATTTCTACAATCAAACTTTAATTTCTTTCGTAAATCTTTAATTAAAGCAATGATTTGAACATTTTTTGAACTAAGAGACAATTTGCTATCATTAACATCTGAAGGATCACCCAATGAACTTATTGTTTCTTTGTTTTGTTTATTCTCCTTGACAATCGATTCAGATGCCTTACCTTTATCCATTTTGTTTTTTAAAAGTTCACACAATTCTTTTTTTTTGTTCTGTAATTCTTCTTGAATTCGTATGATAGAAGCATCTTTATCTTTAAGCGCATTTAGACAAGTTTGCATTTTGTCATCATGCTTCTTTTTACATTCAGATAGTTCATTCTTCGTTACTTCAAGTTCGCTTTTAAGTTCTTTAATTAATTTTACAATACCTTTTGACACATTAGAAGGATCCTTTCCATCTTCGTCGATTTTTTGAAGCATTTTAATTATATAATCTTTTTCCTCAATTATTAATTCTTTTGTGTATACTTTATTTCTACACTCATTTAAAATAGACAAATAACATTTATTGAGATAATTTTCAAGAATACTAGCATATCGTTTCATTATCGGGTTAATATTGACACCACAACTTTCTAATGCCTGTTCATCAACATCTTCACTAAAACATACAGTTTTGGCCAAAAGCATCAAAAGGTATAACATTATTAGGGGACATTTTGGAATTTTGTATGTACAAATTTAATATATTTTTTAATAAATATTTAAATCTGTAAGATCAAAAAAAGAAAATTTAGAAAAAAAAAACATGGAAATGTAAATTTATAACATTTTTTAAAAATTTTCGCTGGCTTACAAAAGCTTTTAATGTAAGGTCGTTTATTTGAGTTGCGTATGTCTGGGCCCACATTGCTCTGTAAATGTTACAGTTAAAAAAGTATTTATATTTTTAAATTAATTAAATCAAACAACAATACAAACAATTGGTAGATTAAAGTGCTGAAACTTAATGAATAGGATCTAATAGTAAAAACAATTTTTCTTAGAAAAATGATTATGTAAATAAATAAACTAGGTGTATACAAATAAATTTAAAACTTAATCATGTTCTAGTTGTATCATAACAACTTTGATTTAGTTGCAAACAACTTTCTTCTAACAAAACTTTAACAGTATTTATTTAAGTAAAAGCAAAAATATAATTTTTACTTAATTAAAAATAATTATTTAAATAAAGTTTTTGTAAAACTTAAAAGTAAAAATATTTGAAGGGGAAAACGATAAACATACATATTTTTGCTTTTATTTTAAACTTTCTAACGGGAAAATAAAAGTCAAAATAAAGAAGATGCATAAAATTCAAAAAAATAAATCTTTATTCTTATAAAAACGCGGCTTAATATAAGATTATCAATACAAGCAAATAAATATATTAATGTCGTAAAATAATTTTAATATGTTTTAAAATGTATGTGTTAAAAAATTTTCGATAAATAAAAAAAGATTTGGACATTTATATGTTCATTGATATCAAGAACATAAAAAATTGTGTACTTTAACTCCCCATATCTCTCTATCGTGCTTCTGTGTACAACTTAGTATTATCTTTAAAATTAAAGAATTACAGAATCTTGAACATTTTTGGTTTTAACAAAATGTTCAAAATGTAATTAAAGAATCACATATAAATAACTAAAAATAATACTAAGATGAAATCAAATAAATATTTAATGAAAATGGCTTTTGATTTTTTAACTTAATAACTATTACCTAAAGCATAACTCACAGGCAGTTTTAATAAAGGTGTAGCTTTTTTTATGTTGATCATAAAATTAATTGATTCAACTACATTTATAATAAAAGTGATAGTATTTTATGTGATAATCTCACAATCTCTAATTTATGATAATGTATATATATTTTATTTTTAATAAATGAATTCTTAATTTGTTGTTATAAAATTAATCTAAAACGAGTCAAAAATGTAAAAAAATTTATTAAGAATCATTGAAAAATGCTTAAATTTATATCTATCTTAGTATATCGTTTTCACATAAATTGTTCTGAATATTAATATGCAAAACTTAGCTCTTACCTATATATCTAAAATAAATGTTAATATTGTAATAAAAAAGCTTAATCTATTTTATAAAACATCTTTGTCTAATAAAATAATTTAAATTTCATCATTAAATAAAGTATTGACATATTTCACGCCTAAAAAATAGCTTTTATGTTGTGGTTTTGAAATAGTACTTGTCGTCTGCGGTAGCTTTAAATCCTCTAATTATCAAGCTCAAAAAAAGATTAAGAAAATTAACAAAACAAATCTAATGTATAACGTTTCACAAAGCTAAAAGCATTTAAGCCAAATTTAATAAATAAACATGAACAATACAAATATTTCTTCTTCTTTTAATGCATTTCCCGCCCACCAGAATTCTGGTGACATTATTATCTCTCACAGAAGTTATTTTTTTCTTTTTTAAGAAAATTCACTGTAACAATTGTTGTAATATTGGTTTTTAATAATCTAATTCCTTTGTTTCCAAAGTTTTATTCATACAAATGTCATAAAATACATCAAATAGGGGTTTCCGGGTTTTAAACCTATCAGTATTAGACAATGAAATGACATTTTTGATCATTGAAATTTAATCCTAACAAGAATAATTTTTTAAATTTTACCCTGAATGAATTTTTAAAAAAATAATAAAACGGTTAGGTCGATGAATCCTTACATGAAGTACTACAATGACCGACAAGGACATTTTAATAAACAACAATACAATAAATTAATTTTCACAAGTAAACCACGTAATTATCTAGGCTTTTCTTAGCTTTAATTGCCTATCTGCAAATAGTGCCACACTAGAATATCCAATGATGTAAAAATTAACGCTTATAAACTAAAAATATTTAAATAGAAGAGGAAAGGTATGACTCTTATGAAGTACGAATAACAGCCATTATTAATAATTTACAAATAGTATAATTAGAAAAAATATAAAAATACGAGTTGCTAGCAAGGAAATTGGAATTTATACCTAAATTTAAGTTTAGAATAATTCCATCTTTAATGACTAGGAATATCTTAGTTACAAAAGATTATAATAAGCATATGCAAGAGATTAATATAGACAAAAAAAGCACATTTTCAGTTTAGGATAATAAATAGACGCTTGAAAGCATATTACTTGAATATAAACTTGGTTGGAGAGAGGATGGATGCTCAATTGTGGACACGACAAGTGTACTACAGAAAGTTGCTTCTAGTGTTGCAGGTACAAAAAACATGTATGTTTTATATTTTATTTCCTAAAAATTTACCTCATAGGGTAAAATTAGTTAAATAAAAAAAAAATTAATTTGTTACATATAAAAATATATTTGACAACAATGTAGTAGTATACCACAGTGTAAGAATTTAATTTATATTTTCTCTTTATATCTGTATGGATAATATACAATTCAACTTTACATAATTTTATACCTAATTCACTAAATTTATTAAAAATAGTAACATAAATAAGTTCTTGTACAAATATTGCAATTGCTTTTGAAAATTTAAAAGCTGTATCAAAGACTATCTTTTGAGTCTTAAAACATGCTGTATATAAATTTTAAATATTATTTCATTTTTAATAAAATTAAAAAGAATAATTAGTGATATTAATTTCTTATGTCTTAAGTTAACCAGGCCTTTCTTATAAATATATAAAGTTACTTTAATCTCTATATACATAAATTTGACAATTTGTCAACAGATATTATTTTTTATAATAAATACTTTTAACAAGTTAAAAACTTATTAAATAGCTTTAAAAAGTAGCTTATATTTATAGCTACCAATTTTTTTTTGGGTTAAATCCAGTAAATGTAATTAATTCTTGTTTTTAATGATTGACCATGCTTCGTTTTTGCTAACTTAACAGCAACGTTTTCAAAACAAAAAAGTAGAATTGTATTTAAAAACAAAATAAATTAGCACTCCAAAATAAAATTTAATGGCTGTTCTTTGCTTTTTTTGAAGCCGAGCTTCCTTCATTTTCTTCTTCAAAATTTCCGTCTGTTTGATTACTACGGCGACGACTATGTAGCAATTTACTACATTTCAATGATTTTTCAATTTGAATTTTTTTTAAAGCCTTGTACAAAGTATCAAGGCTAAAAAATTCATCAGAATCTACCTTCAGATTTGACTCTTCCACAGAATTGTTGAAAGACTCTTTAATCATTGCCCTTAATTCAGATACAAATGTATTTCCTTGATTTTCACTAGTTTCCATACTTTGCGAACTATCTGGACCAGAATGCGATTTGCTGCAATTAACATCTGACAAATCGTTTAATGAGCTCGCTGTTTTATCGTCTTGCTCGTGCCCACTAGAATCATTTTCAAATTTATTTCGTAAATGTTTAAACAAATTTTCACATCCCTTAAGTAATTCAAGTTTGCTCTTTTTTCCCTTTTCGCTTTTATTTAAAAGTTGTTCAATACAATTATCTCTAGCTCTAAGCGCATCATACCAAATAGATTTGTATTCTTCAAAGTCTTTTTCAGATAGGATTTCCTTCCTTTTTTTAAGTTCGTTTTCAAGTCCTGTATTTTGCTCAAACATAATTTTATACGTATTTATGCGATCCTGTTTGTCTTCATTAGATCTTTTAAGCTCTTTAATCTCCAAATCCTTTTTTTTCATTCTCAATTCTTGTTGTTGTAATAATGCCACTAACCCGTTCATAATATACAAATGCGATTGTTCTGAATCCTTATCACTAGAATTCATTAATGGGTCGATTACTGGATTAACATTGCCTCCACAACTTCTTGATGCTCGTTCATCAACTTTTTCATTGGTACATACAATTTGGGATAAAAGTATCAATAAGTATTGCATTGTTGGGGTATCTTTATTTTTTTTATATAAAGTTAATTTATTTTAAATAAATTTTTTAAAAATTGTACGATCAACAAAAAATAAAATTGTTAAATAAAAAACAAGATTTTTATAAATTTTAAGCGTTTTTGACAAA